CCAGCGGTGATGCTGCCAAAGGCGGCCGCCAGCACCTCCATCCCTGGGGAGATGGCAGGGGCTTGAGGTCTCATCCTGACAGCATGGTGGGGGCTCGTCCTCACCCAGCTGAGCCTTGGGGCCCCATCCAAAAATGCAATGTAGGGGCACCCCCTTCGGAATCCCAGCATTTGCCACAGGCTGGGGCTGGAGTAGCCAGAGGGCCCCCCCTCCCTGGAGGCCTTACCCAAACCTGCTGGAGCCCCCCAGGCATGCGCCTGCCCCAGCATACCCCTGAATCCCCCCGCAAGGCTCTGCCAGCACCCCAGGGCTGGGGCTTCTACCTTGCAAGAGGCTCTGGAGGGATGCCAGAGCCCCATCTGTGCTGCTCCTGATGTCCAAGACGATCATGCCACCCAGCTTGGGCCCAATGTCTGTGAAGATGGGAGACATGGTGTCAGTGATGGGACCTCCAGCAGCAGGACCAGGCTACCCTGAGCAGCCCGGGGCTTTGTGGCGGGGTGGCACAAACAAAAAAGGACCCCAACCCATATCCACCCTCCAGGCAAGGTGGGCAGAGGGGACCCCCCTACCCTGCCAACACCTGCATCACCCTCCCAGAGCAAAGCCTGAATGGGGAAAAGCAGCAGCTGGAGCATAGAGAGAAGCCCCCAAACTCACTCCCTTTAGACATCCCCATGAGAATCAGTCCAGTGGCCCCCAGGGTCAGCAATCATCTGCAGCACCCCCAGCCACCTCCACCCCCAAGCACCCCCAGGATGCCTCATCCCTCCCCTGCCACACACCCTTACCCTGGAGGCTGCGGTTGGCGTGGTCCAGCGGGACATCGCTGCTGTCAACGATGAAATTGATTTGCTGGAGGGACAGAGATAGGGTGTCAGTGCGGGTGGAGACCCTTCCCCACCTCCAGCCCCACTGTCACACTTCCCCAGGGAGGTTCTCTGTCCCCCATCAGGTATCCCAACCGGGGCAGGGGTACTAGGCGTGCCTGGGGGATGGAGGCCAGGTAGGTGCGGACGTTGCCCAGGGTGCCGTTGACGTTGGGAAAGGTGCCATACACAGCCTGGGAGAAGCGGGTGTTGCTGACAAAGGCGCAGACGTTGCCAGCCCTGCAAGGGAAGGGTGGTAGGGTCAGCATGCAGGGAGCTCAGTCCCGATGTTTTCCCCCAGGACCCTCCGAATCCACCCACATCAGTTCCAAGCTGCAGGGTCTGAGCCCCTCTTCCAGAGTATCCCAGCGAGTGCCCTGCACACAGCCAAGGGACCAGAGAGGAGGGACACGGGAAACTGAGGCACAGGGGAGCCCGGTGCCTGGCGCACCCGCATTTCCCGTCAGTGAAGCTATCGGGAAGGGTCTGCTCCGTGCCAATGCGCATCCCCCAAGGCCAGCTCCCCACCACTGCCGCTTCCTCTCCTTTGTCCCGCCATGCTGGGATCTGCTTCTGCGAACAATGGCAGCTTCCTGGCCCAGCCGCCAAGCGCCGGAGGTTCCACCCCGCCCTCCAGTCCCATCCGGAGGCTCCCAGCCAGTGCACTCACAGGACAAGAGCAGAGACCAGCAGGACGGAGGCCCAGAGTGCCCGACGCCGGCAGCCCATCCGCCGGCCCTGCTTCTGG